AAATTAGGGACGGCTAGTGCAGATAGCCCTCGTGTAGCTTTGCACGAAATTCAAAACAAACTAAAATATTTTTGCAACTGCTAAAGAAGTGTTTTTCAGTTCTTTTTAACAAGGTGCTAAGTTGGAGAAATTAATAAATAGTCTGCTCTATCAGAACTGGGAAAACAAACATTTGGTAAAAACTAATAACTATCACAACTACAACATGTTTTTGTATGTCCCTAGAATAGTATATCTCATAACAGTAAGGTACCCAAGAGATGAATCAATACTCTTTAATCATTAAGAATAAGAAAGGTATGTTAAATGGCCTATTATTATTCACTGCATTAATGTTTAGTTCTGATCTATTTGGGTATAGCTTGCTTTGATCAAAAGTTAATGATAATTTAATTTTGTAGAAATGTCATTCATATACAAAATAATTAAGACTTCAATCAAAACTTCCATTAAAGAAACAAATTGTGATTAGATATCCCTCAAAACGTTGGTTTCAGCTGACTTTTCTAGTAGTGTATATAGGGCATTTATGAACTAGTCTGTTTCTGTATAAGCTATAATTATTTAATTGCCTCCTCTTCTACAGTCAGTGACTTTTATGGAGATATATCTCAGGAAAAGTGAGTTATCTGTAAAATGTTTTTAAAATTCATTGGCATAAACTTTGAGATTGTTGTTTGTTTTAATGCAGTGTGAAAGTTTTAAAGCTGGTAAATCTTTGACATTTCATGTTCATGTAGTATTGTTGATTGTTACATAGATAAGTACAGAGAGTTGAGTGGGTTATACATAAATTATTTTGGAGCCTTACTATACCATTACAGTCTCTTTTGTCATGTCTAGTCATGCTCTAGCTGATGATTGATTATGCATCTTGATAATAGCTCTGTAGTATAATTTCCATTGCAAAAGGCTCCTTCGTAAGGACATCATGTCCAAAAAATAACACCTTTTCCATTGTCTTTTCATAACCTATCTAGTGCAGGAAGATAACAGTTTGTGAGAACCTTTTTCAAAATCTGATTGCATAGAAATCCAGCAACTTACTTGGTATGTATTCACACGTATAAATACCTGTTTCACTTTCCAGTTGCTTGAGGTGTGTGACAGTTGAAGGGGAGGTATGATTAGAAGCTTTATATTGGTGAACCTTGTCTGGTTATGCTCAATTTGTGAATTGGCCAAGCATCTTGACAATAGCTCTGCAGGGTGGTTTCCATTGCAAAAGACCCTGTCATAAGAATTTCATGTCCAAAATGCACAACTCCTCTGTACTTTTTGTTGGATATACAAGACTGTTTAGTATAAGAGTTATTATTTAGTGATCTAATATTCAATGATTATTTAGCTTTTATAACAAGAGTGTTAAAAGTTGATTATTTTAGAAGCAATAGTTATGACAAATTTCATTATGTAACTCGGTAAGAGTCGTACATTGTGTGTATAGTTCAATTGCTGTAAATTGATGTCACATTACTCGACCCTTCCATGGGGCAATGTATATATAGGCGACCAATTGGGTGCAAGTGAAGTTGAATCACAAAATGTTAAGTTAGTTAAAGTGAATTTAGACTGCGTGATTGTTAGTTTAGCCATAACAGGTGATATTTTAATGTGAGTTTCACAGTTAAACAGAGATAAGGAGAATAATTTGTCTTATAAGAAGGTGTTCTAAAGTAATTGAACCTGCCTGTGTGGACTTTGATGAAAAGGATCCAATTATTTAAAGTTCTAGATACAACTTTGGTAGCCCACAGGGTAAAGTAAGTGAATTTATCACTAATTATATTGTGATAACAGAGTAGAGGAGAATAATTTGTTTTGTCCAAAGGTGTCCTGTGTGGACTATAACGAAAAAGAAACAATTATTTAAAGTTCTGGATACAACTGTGATAACCAGTCACAGTCACCTACTGCAAAAGAATCCCACCCCACTTATACTGAAAAACTCTGACACTTTCCATAACCTATCTAGTATATTAGAATATAAGTTTCCAAGTGGCCATTTCATCAGTTAGATTGCACAAAAATCCATAAGCACTGTGACCAGCGACTTGAATAGTATGTCTTCATATGGAATAGTATGAATATCTGTTTCATTCACCAGTTGCTTGAAATATATATCAGTTATTTTGGTGAACCTATACCCCATGCCTGGTTATGCTATGTCTGATGATCAACCCTGCATCTTGAGAATAGCTTTGCAGCATCGTTTCTATTACAAAAAGCTCTATCATTAGGATGTCATATTCAAAGAACACAACTCCTCCCCATGGTATTCTATAACCCATCTAATATATGAGGACAGTAGTTTCTGAGCAGCTGTTTCAACAGTCCAATCACACAAAAATCCAGCAACATAACTGCTATTTATTTATATGGAATAGCATGAACATCTGTTTCATTCTTCAGTTGCTTGAAATATGCAACATTTGAGTGGAAATTATGACTGGTAACCATATTTAGATGAATCACTACCCTGTTAACCTCAGTTTCATACAAAGCCAGTATTTCTGTGTGGTACAAAGGGTCTAGAACATTGGTATGATAGTAAGCAGAGTTCACCTTAACATTTGTATCCACTTTCTTGATACCAAACTTGGGGTAACATCCAACAATATGAATTCTTTCAAAAACGTTTCATGACAAGCTGTGTGTACCATTTTTGGAATGAACCTTTCACCTGTTGACTGCCAGAAAATGGGTGAAATTTGTTACCATTATTAAGGTATACATATGCTTTGTTGAGTGTCACTACATATTGCCATTTTTCCTCAGCTAGGTACGATTCAAACAGTTTTCTACAGTTGATCTTTCTTTCCTGAATACTTCATGGAAGCAATGTCTTTCCTTGGCCTTGTATCATTTTTCCAGATTGAGCTACTTATTGATTATTTTGTGTGTCAGAGTAATGAAGGTTTTATTCTTTTTATTATTATATATAGTAGTAGTAGTGTTTAGTAAGTAGGTTGAATAATATAGGTGTTTGGCTAAGCATTCTTCTACAGTAGGTTTCTGTGACTTGTTGGTGATAAATTAAAAGATGCCTGAATGGCACACACACACTGCTTGTTTTAAAATAATGTATTCAAAACAAATTAAACGTATGTACACAAATTTTTTACACTATGTATATTATAGTTGTATCTTAAATACTATACAGTTTTCTTCTTGTCAAAAGTTCACTTAGGCTAATTCAATTGCTTTAGAATTCAGTTGACAAGCCAAATTATTTTTCTATATTTTTATCTTAAACAATATCAGTGTATAATTCACTTATTCCTTTTCTTCTCTCTCTTTTTTTTCTTTTATCATAACAGTATTAGTGTATAATTCACTTACGCTGTCGTTGAGTTATCTGCTTTTTTGTATTTAGGCCTACTTTCAATGAATGTCTGCTTTTTGCATATAGGCCTTCTTCCAAATAAGCGTCTGCTTTTAGTCCAAGTCCACACAGGCAGATTCAATTGCTTTAGAACACCCTTTGACAAGACAAATTATTCTCCTAAAATCTCTGAAGACTGTTAATCTTACTTTAACATATCAACCGTTAGGCTGTTCACTCCTCCAACAGTTAACTTTACGTTTTCTAACCTTTCTCTGAACGAAACTCTTTCACTCAGCTTTACTTTTGGCTTTTTTACCACTCTCTCTGTCTGTCTGCTGTTCTAGCTCGTCTCACACTATTTATATATTTATCACTTAATCATCTGCTCACCTTCTAGAAATCCCTATATTCTCAAAGTCAGTATATTTCACGCAACATTTGATACCCTCAACATCAATGAATTATAAACACAACTTCGAATAATCATCTGCTTTTAACTCTCTTATTATAAAAAACACACTAAACAATCATAAAATATTAACTCGTAAAATAAATAAATTAATACTACCTGCACTATGCAGTCTTTTATGTCATGACATTGTGTACAGTTTCCTGGGACATTTGGGTAGCTTTTGCCACTGACCTTTGTGTTCATGGATTCTCAACTGTTAAAAGATTCAATATTTTTCTTACTCTGGCTAGGATACAACTTTTTGCAAGTCTCTCTCTGGATGGTCCTCAGGTCTAAAGTTGATCCATATCCTTTTGTTTTTCAGTGCTGTTATGTATAAGGGATATTCCCATCTTAGAAATTCTGTATACTGACCTGAACATATCTTTATGCATGCATATTTTGCATTGAAAAGGGTTGTTACATACCCTCCCAAAAGCAATCAGTTTTTGTAGCATCATACTACCTATAAAATGCCAAACAATGTCAAAATGTAATTCTGATACAACCAGGTCCACCACAGCTTTTCATCAGCTATGGTTGTCATGTGAAAGCTTGCTGATTTGTATATTCAAAATAATGTTAATGTAATGTACTCAACCCTCTAATTATTATAAAAACTAGGCTTGGATGTAGAAATAATGCAATATCTACACTCAAGCAGTGTCTTCTTTTCATTCAGGTTAGAAATTAAGGAAAAGGTGGGTTGTGGTGCTTTTGGACAAGTTCATATTGCAGAGGCTTTGGGTATAAAAGCAAAAGAAGTTTTAACTGTTGTGGCAGTTAAAATGCTGAAAGGTGAGTTATGATACTGTAGGATTAGCAGCTGAATGAAATTTAACTATACATAAAGTGTTTAAAATTTTGCTTATTACCTCATTCATTTCAATCAAAATCAACAGAACTTAAGTTTTTATTCATATAAATTTGATACTTTTAAGTTTATGATTCTACTGATGGCATAGCACATAATATGTTAACCTGGAAAGTGTCCTTCAATAACCAGTAGGAGGAGGGGTGCATTAACATGTTAAATTACACTAATTTCTTGAAGAGTTTTATATATATTTCTAGCATTTTGTTATTTACTAACATATTGTATTTTAAAAGTTTTTTATTTCACTGCCTTTCAATTAAAGGTCACTCAGTACTTAGAGTTGTGTTGATGCTGTTTGAAAGCTGTACAGAAAATGCAACAACAAAATATTTCCTGTGAATCTATAGGCATAATAAAAACTGCTCAAAGTATAAAAGATTGTGTATAATATAAGGTCATGGAATACTTAAATTGTAGATTAAGTTATGGAATCATGTTTTTTTTATCTGGAGTTGATATTGTATATGCTATACTTTTTTTACACTTATTTTGGGCTTAAAATTATTAGCAGTCTTACTTTGATGTGTCTGTTATCTAAAATCTCATATATAAAGTACAGAAAAAGAAAGTGCCATCCTTTCAAAACAACCTTAAAAAGTGAATGTAGTTTTGAGCAAACCCTTCTGTTTGTTCAGTTAAGCTCAACTATACTGACAGATGGCCCAATAAAGACACTTTAGATCCTAGTCAAGTTTTAATTGCAGTATATATGAGATATAACAGATAGTATAGTAGCAACTCTTCATCAAGATTCAGGTAATTGGTTTTAGTTAACTAACTTAATATTGACAATGTAAAACAAAAGATTACTCAATCTTTATCAGTTTCTTTGGTAAGGTTGTTTCAAAAGGAATTTTCTATTTTTCTGTAATCAATTTTAAAATGTCATTTGCACATGTTTGAAACATTCCATTCTTTACTCTTGATTCAGAAAGTAAGCCTACTTGTGTACTTTCCATAAAACTATATTAGCCATTTGTTATCATATTTTCTAAAATATTCCAAAATATTCCTAAACTGTAACAGTCCATGGATGATTTGAGGCTGTCTTAAAAAGAAAGTAATCCATTTTACATCAGGATAGTTGATGATTTTATACAAAAACATGCATATAGATCTTAACATACTTACATAATTCTCATTCAAATGTAATTTTCAGTATTTATTATTATTGCCATACAAAAGGGGAGTTTCCTCTATAAAAATTAGCTTCAAAATATTGTCATTAATAGTAATATGAGAAGACCTTAAGATTTGAAGCAATTCTTCATATCAACACACCATATTGCAATCAAAAAACTGTTTTAAAATTTGCTTGGAGAAATGAGACTGCACTGTATTGTCACTAAGTAGTAAAGTAGACTTTAAATCTTGTTAAATTATTTCAGGTCATAACTTACTTTCTGGTTATAGTAAATATTTATGTGCATAATTATATCAAAACTATTCACAAAATGAGGAACCCTTCTACTAATGTAAAGAGATGTTTTTATAAAGTTTGTAAATTAGAAGTGTTTAATTCTTACACCTGCAGTAGTTTTTTATGTTGCACACAAATTATTAATATCTACATTTATAGAAAGATATTATAGTGCGGTCATTGTATACTTTTGTATAGTTGGACACACTGATCAAGATATGCTTGACTTAGTATCAGAGATGGAACTAATGAAAGTTATTGGCTCTCATATGAATATCATCAATCTGTTGGGTTGTTGTACACAGGATGGTAAGTAATTTTTTTTTTCAAAACACTATGTTAAGGATCTTAATTTTTTTCCTCTATGCCTCTTATGAAAAGCATAATCCCAAATATTTTGTTTTTAAATCCTGACAAACAAACTATTTGCAAGATTTGATATTCTTTGCTTTTTAAAGCACCAAAAAAATCACTTCTAACTTTGCACATATTTTAAAAATTGTTTAGGCCCACTGTATGTGATTGTGGAGTATGCAAGCAATGGAAATTTGCTGGACTTTTTAAGATCTCACAGGCCAAGTTCAGGATATGAAATTCCTTTAGGAGCTGACAGGAATCTCAAAGTGCTCTTGAAAAAAGATCTAATTTCTTTTTCTTTCCAAATAGCAAAAGGAATGGAGTATCTAGTTTCCAAAAAGGTGAGTAATTTATCAACAAAATTTGTGCATGATAAAAACTTTTGCTTAAACCATTTGATACTAGGAGGAAAACATGTGCTTCATGTATTTGGTTGTGATGTTTTGTACTTAAATGCACAAAACTTATAAAATGTAAAGGCAGTGCTGTGTATTTAAAGTAATTAAAACAGTTAAGTGATCTAGCTATCTATACTGCTCAAGTATAAGATTAGGCACATAGTGTTCTGAATGAACCTGATGGACAAGTAGGGCATTTCAATGACTGTGAGGTTAAACCTAAGTGAATTTAACTTATTCCATAACATGTGATACCAACCAAACACCTCTAGCACAAAAGACACTTTGAGCCAAATGATATGATCAAAAAATGACAAATTGATCAACTTATCTAATACCTGGGTATCAGGGGCAAATATTATAGCTCAAAAGGATGACAGTACCAGTGTTCTAAGTGTCTATAAATAAATAACAAAATCCACACACAAAACCTTAATTCTTAAACATTGCTGTCTGAGATGGGGTTCTGAGGGATGACAGATCCATTCTCCAAATACCTTTCCCTTTGCAATGCATAGTACCCTCTACTGTCCCCCCTCCCTTATGCATATAGTGATGTCATTTGTACTTCCCTACACCTTATTTCATTTTTGCATAGTTTAATGAAGTTTAAAATGCTTCCCATGCACACACACACACACACACACATTGCTCTTTTAATTATGTAGATTGTATAATTTAAAGAGAACTTTTGAGTTTTTATTATTGATATTTTTAAACTTTCATTTGTCATTGTAATAATTAATCATTGTAATAACTGAGTATTAAGTTAAGCTGGAATGATAACAATCTTTTATAAAAGTTGAAACACAAGCTAATAGTTATTTATTCAATCAAGTTCTTTGCTTTATTGTATTGAAATTTCTGTTTTAAAGGCAAATAAAATTATTTAAAAATCTATCAGTTTACTAGAAAGTGCACGTAAATTGAACTTTGCTTTAACATTTTGTTCTTTTGTGGCAGATAAGTCAGTTTCTAAGTAAACAAGTAAAGCCTTTTATAAAACCTAAATGACAGAAAGTTGATTTGAACTTTCTTTTTTTTGTACTGTGTGCTCCCTCAAAATACAAGCTGTATATCTATGAAAATAGAAGTAAAACTTACCAGAGAATGTGTTAATTGGATTTTGATTCAATGATTTATCTGTCAGAAATTGAGCCAAAAGCAGGTAAACTTTTTTTAACAGTTTTCCTACTGTTTATTGTCAAGACTGTGTTACATGAAATAGAAGCAAGTAAAATTCCTTAGACTTAAAAAGTTGAAATACACACTCTCCAGTAAAGGTTTGTGATAACTCCTCAGGTTTTGAAAGAATTAATAATACAATATGACACTATTACCAATTGAATCATTTGAGTTTTAATAGATTCTTGTGTAGTGTTAACTTTGCATTGACCAAGAACACATAAGGACTTCTCTATAGCATCTGTAGTCTAATAAAACTATTTATGAGAGAAACAAGCTCTGTCCAGTCATCCTGACTGTATGAATTGCTAGCAGGGTTACTGTGACACATAATAATTGTTAGGTTGTTATTGTTGATAGGGTATTACATGATTTCTGTTTTGTTACCTTGCCATTGAAGGTGGATGGAGGTTATGATTTTTCCTCTGTGTATGTGTGTTTGTCAGCAAGAATTCTCAAAAATGGCTGAATGGATTTGGATGAAAGTTGGTATACATTTGGACTATGACCTGGCTTAGAAGGGATTAGCTTTTGGAGAGTCAAGGTCATGAAAATAAAAAAAATCTCTTTGTTAATATGGGGACTGATTTTTTACACAATTTTTGCTCTATAACTTTGTCAAAAATTATCGGATTTTGATGAAACTTGGTGAACATATGTAGAATATTATTCCTCACTGTCCTACTAAAAATGGTCAGTGTCCATTGATAACAATGGACGTATGGACACATTTTCATATTTTTTGAGAGTCTAATGTGGTCACCGCTGCATGGTGTAGGTGTGCACTCTACTGAGTGCCCCTCTAGTTTTGTTCATTGTTTTAGATGATAATATTTTTGTACTAGGAATTAGAAAATGAAACAGACAATGCATTTATTGTTAAATTATGTATATCTTTTGAATTAATAACAATAAACTTATATCCAAATACTTTTAAGAGATATAAAATTGTTCTTAGATTTTAATATATAAGATATTTGAATAATGAATTGTATTAGGTAAATTGTGTAATGCTTCAGTAAAACCAGTGCTCAGGTCTCACACATGCACACACACACACACACACAAAAAGTGTTGGAACACGCTATACAATTTCATCAACAATTAAAAAAATGACTAGAAATAATGTACCTTTACCAGTAGTTTTTAAGTTAATGAAAACGAAAATGTCCAAAAGGAGAAATTAAAACAGTAACTTAACAAAATAGAAACTAAAATTAACAAAATGTTTAGAAAAGTAATGACATTGATAAACTAATGCTTCAGTTAGCAAGGCATTTTTCCAATATTTTATCCATTGTTACTATTACAGAACTAATCAGTTGATCATACTATGCTGTAGATGTGTGATACAAGGGCATATCACAATGCACATTGAATGTAACAAAGCAAAAGAAAGAGAAGTATATACAGTACAAATTTCTGATTTACTTCAACAGTGATGTGTATTAGTTCATTTAAAAGAATAGGATTGTTTATTTATTTATATGCTTTTTTGACATCCAGTGTTTATCAAGCCTAAAGAGAAACATAAGTTGAATCACATCTTTGGAAAATGTTGTGTACACACACACACAGTAAATTGACACAAATACTTAATGTTTCACTACATTTTATGTTCAGACAGATTGATATTGCTGTTACAATGTCGTAGAACTGGGTGATGACATGATAGATGATTTTTTTAATACATTTTCACATGTGTGGTTAAATTCAAACATAGTTTGCTTTAAAAAGATTTTTATTTTATTGCCAAAAAGGTTCCAAAATGTGGTGGAATGCCATTCCAGCTACAAATATAAGTGCCATAATGGTGTTCTGGTGCATTCCACTACAACACAACACTAAGTAAGACTGAAAATGATTATTTACTTTTTTTATCTTTTAAATGTTTGATGTCAAAGAAAATAAATAAGTTGTACATAATAAAGTCAGAATTGGGAAGTTTTTTTAATATTTGCAGTTTATTTGTGTTTAGCACATTTAATAGAACTAAATATTCTAAGATTATTACACACACAATATATATATATGGCATATTTCAATGTGTTGTGGTTTTCAAAATTTTATATGATCAAGTAAATAAAGAAATAAACTTTTATTGTTATTTTTTTCAAGGTTAAAATTACAGATACAGTTCTTAACCTATACTTAATTTTGTGACTGTGTGGATATATATATATATATACACATAGACTTTTCCAGTGATGTTAAACATGCATTGTTTATGTAGACAATGTTGCTCTCTCAAGAAAGTAGTTTTAATGCCATGCTGAAACATTTGGTTAGATTTCACTTAGATTTTATTACCTTTATACTTGGATGTTCACCTGTATTTTTTCAGTGTATTCATCGTGATCTGGCAGCTCGGAATGTCCTTGTCACACAAGACAGAATCATGAAAATTGCAGATTTTGGGCTTGCCAGAGATGTGCAAGAAGTAGATTATTATAGGAAAACTAGCAATGTAAGTGAAAGTGAAGTTTGCTTTGAATGATATTAATTGATATAATTTTACACTAAAAACAAATAACTAGATTTTCAGCATGGATAATATGACTGTGGATTGTGTATGTAGCAAAAAGTAACAGTTTAACCTCTTTTGGATTTCTTTTCTTGATTATGTATAGTCTGTTGGTTGTTTAATGAAAGCTTTATAGTTGGATTAATACTATAGTACTTTATCCAGAAGTTAATTACATTTGAAAAAAAACAAAACAAATGAATTTATTTGAAAATTTTGATTTTAAGAAACTGTTTAGAGCTGATCAATGACTATGGGTTTGTAATGCGAAGAATGACATTATAAGTATATATCTGATAAACAGAGCAAGAGTTTTAAACTGATTGAAAAACATCTATTACCAGCAGGACAACACTATAACTTAATTGTAGCTAAACTCTCTTTCCAGATTTCAGTACTGCAAACCACATTCAGTAGTTCAATTCCTGATCTCTGATTAAACAACTTTAACCATCAAATTAGAATAGGGTTCAATGATATAATTAAAATTTCAAACTCTGTAAGAAAATATATTAAGATGGGAAACATATTGTTAAATAAGGTAAAAAAAATGCATAAGTGTAACAAGTTGAAAACTGAATATAATATCAGGACATGTAATAAAGGAAGAGTGTAAATGTGAAGTGTTTTTAAGATGTCTTGCCACAAAATGTATTTCCAAATGAAAATATTCTGTAGACTTAAAGAATGTGAGAAGAAACATTTATTGTTATATGTGCATTACATAGTATTATTTCATTTCGTAAAGGCCTTTTCTAAACATTGTATGTTATCTATTCTAGGGTCGACTACCTGTAAAGTGGATGGCACCAGAAGCTCTGTTTGAAATGAAGTTTTCTTCATATAGTGATGTGTAAGTGAATTTTTTGTCTCTCATTGCTAAAAACTACATATCATGAAAGACCAGCTTCACTAGTGTTAATTATTCAAATAGAGACTATTTCTGAACAATGTATCATCAGCCAACATTCTTATGATTTTTACCATTTATTTAACTGTATTTTTTAAATCTTGTAAATTGATTTATTTCTGAAAGTAATGAAAAAGAAAAAATGTAGCTCAGGTTTTAATTCATATCCAGTCTAGGGCATTGAACTGAGGTAAACTGTGTTAGAGTTTTCTGGTTTCTTTTTCTCATTATTATGTACTGTAACCCAATAAAAAATAAAATATGACTTGAATTATTATGGCATATATAACTTCTTATGCTGGCAATGCATGATCTGTAGATTAGTGTTTTTGCACTTACTTCACAAAAAGATTGAAAATAATTTTTGGTAAATATTTTGTATTAACCAAGGTAATGAACACAGGGCTTAAATAAATAAAACATTAACATTGAAGATGATTGGTAAATAGTGTATTGAATAAAACAATGTAAATGTAAAGCTCTCCTTATCAGGAAGAAAAATCTAACATTAATCCTCTTCATTTGTGGTTTGTGTAAATCTGCCTATCACCCCATGCACAAAGATTGGATTTTTGAGGTGGGCCATTAAAAATGTTATGCACAAAATAATTGCATTGTGTGATGTCAACCACAGTCGCCTATGCTAACATCATATGATGTCAACTGCAGTTGAAGGGTTAATAAATGCACAGTTTTATAATTTTATTCTAATTTTCTCCTTACTTGTATAGCCATTATTGACTTCTATTACATTGTTACTTAATGGCATGAGATCATGACTGATATCATAACATATGAAATTTTAAAATTGTTGTACTTTCTAATTTAAAGCTTCTCACCTGATGATGCTAAGTGAACCTAGTGAAACACAGTGTTGTTTAAAAACATTTTTAAACATATTTACATGTTCATCAATATACCAAAATATTTATTTTAGATTGGAAAGTTCTTCCTAAAATTTATTAAAGTAAAACTATGCTTACTGACATACCATATGGAACAAATGTTATTTCATCATTCAAAATTTACCTCCATGGCTGTTATAAACATTTGTTTGTTTTCTCTGGTTTATTATATTCTAAAAATGTACACTTGGTTATCCTAGACATAGTAATTCAGTTCACAGTAATTAACATAAAAAGACTCCTACTTTATATTTTCATTACCTTGTTGAGACTGAAGTTTATTTCATTGATACCTATGATACCATTCAACACTCATCCTGTAAGTATTTTTGATTACATTAAAGCTGCCTTTAAAGTTTTTTTTTATTTAATGAGCCTTAACTGAAGGTACTCTTACAGTTTATGAAGGATAGTTTTACAAATGTTAATTTTTTATACATGATATGAAGATTATGATAAATGTGCATCAGACTGTTTCCACAGCTAATGACATTATAAGTAAAAAGTGATGTGTCCAATACTATTCTTCAGCTATTTTTATAATGAACATGCACAACCAAAA